GCTAATCCTTTCAATATCTCTACTTCAGAAATGGTCACTCTTTGTTATTGTAAAAACAGGCAAGAAAGACCTGGATTCCTGCAACGGTCATTGTCTAAAGCCAGAGGTGGGGAGTTGGTGAGCTGAGGGTCTTCTTTCAAGTTTTGAAGAGAGACCAAGGGCCTCAGTGGGGAAGGTGCAGGTATGAAATGGGTAGAGTCACAGTTGGGTAAGACCAAGATCCTTTTTTTCCCCTAGAAATTTTTTCCTACTTTAAAACTACATTAAGCCCCTTACCAGCTCACACTAGAATTTTTTTCAGATGTGAAATTGCAAAAAGCAGAAAATTTCCAAAGCCCCCCTCCTCTCTCTCTCTCTCTCTGTGTGTGTGTGTCTCTCTCTCTCTGTCCCTCCCTCTCCCTCCCTCCCTTTGTCTTTGTCTCTCTGTCTGTCTCTCTCTGTCTGTCTGTCTCTCTGTCTCTCTCTATCTCTGTCTCTCTCTGTCTCTCTCTGTCTCTCTCTCTCTCTCTCTCTCTTTCAGAGGTAGGTTTAGTTTGAGCCACCACACTACATCATCTTAATTAATTTTGGGGCAAACTGTTGATCGGGAAAAAGCCAAGGATGACGCCCTAGCAAAGGCTAAGGCTACTCTGTCAAAAGCAAGTCTTGAAATGATGATGATCCAAGATTTGAACCCCCCCCACCCCAAAACTGGAGAAGAAGACCCTCGAAATGGTATTTCCAGGAGAGAGAACTGCCCTTTCCTCCCCATTGTGAAACTCTTCCGAGGTGCAACTACTCAGAGGCATGATGGGGATTGAATCCAAGCCATCTCATTTTCGTTTTGAGGCACACCGCTCTCCCACTGCCATTCTCCCATTATTTTCCCCCCCCCCCATCTTTTTCTTTCCATGAGAAAAACCATTCAGGAAGGTGGGGAGGGGGGACAAAACCAGGGTGGATGGCCCAAGGTGTCCTTGGAAAGAACCAACGAGAACTTGACTTGGATAATCATGGGATTTATGGGGATGATCTGGGCTGAATCTTTTGGCTTGAATTCCACAGTTGAGATGCTATGAATCCAACAGGCAAAAAAAAACCACCACTGAATTTGGGTGGGTGGGCGGGAAGGACGAAAATGGGGTTTAAATGCTTCCTGCAGACTGCCGGTTGTTTATTCTTGCTATCAACTATGATTGCAAGCCCTAGTTGTTGGTTTCACACCCCACGTTTCACACGAGAGTCAGGATTGGTTCTGTGCTTTAAAGCGAAGGTACCCCATACAGGTGATCCTCGACTTATAACAGTTCATTTAGTGACTGTTCAAAATTACAGCACTAAAAAAATGACTTAGGACCATTTTTCATACTTATGACCGTTGCAGCATCCCCAGAGTCAGGTGATCAAAACTCGGACACTTGGCAACTGACTCATATTTATGTCGGTTGCGGTGTCCCCCGATCGTGTGATCCACTTTTGAGACTTTCTGACAAGCCAAGCCAATGGGGAAGCCAGATTCGCTTGATCACCGGGTTGATAACAACTGCAGTGATTCCCTTAAGAACTGTGGCAAGACGGGCCATAAAATGGGGCAAAACTCACTTAATGAATGTCTCGCTTAGCAAGAGAAATTTTGGCCTCAGTTGTGATCGTAAGTCGAGGACTACCCGTACTTCAAAAGGAGGAAGACTTCAACATAGCTCCTTGTTTTTGAAGGAAGAACAACGAAACCTTAGGAGGGCCGAGGTGAAAATAGGGAGGTACAGCCTGGAGGTCACCCACAGTTGCTGCATCACCAGGGATCATTTTATCAAATGATAAATTCAAAATTAAAAAGAGCACGCTGCTTGGAGTGGAACAGAATTGCTAAGTGATGCTTTTCAGCTGTGGAACCTTAAGTTAACCAAGTCCAATCCCCCGCCCAAGCCGGAGACCCTACACCAGGGTTCTTCAAACTTGGCCCTTTTATGACTTGTGCACTTCAACTCCCAGAATTCCTCAGCCAGCGTGCCTGGCTGAGGAATTCTGGGAGTTCAAGTCCGCAAGTCATAAAAGGGCCAAGTTTGAAGACCCCTGCCCTACACCATTTCTGACAGATGGCAATCCAGTCTCTTCTTGGAAGCTTCCGGTGTTGAAGCTCCCACAACTTCTGAAGGCAATCTGTTGCATTGTTTGATGGTTCTCACTGTCAGAAAATTTCCAGGTTGAATCTCTCCTTGATCACTTTCCATCTGTTATTCCTTGTCTGGCCATCAGGTGCTTTGGAAAATAGGTTGACCCCCCCCCTCCTCCTCTCTGTGATAGCCCCTCAAATATTGGAACACTGCTGTCATGTCTCCCCTGGTCCTTCTCTTCAGTAGACTAGCCATGCCCATTTCCTGCAACCGTTCTTCATATGTTTTAGCCCCCAGTCCCCTAATCATATTTGTTGCTCTTCTCTGCACTTTTTCTAGAGTCTCAACATAAGCAGCACATCCTGGTTGAGTTCCCACAGCAAAACTGAACCGCAGCCCCCTGGCATGGAAAGTGTTGTGCAAACACAGCCAGTCTAATTAGTTCCGGGCACCGCAGCCAACTTGACACAACCCCCCTTGAAAGCAGAACTCAAATGGGGCAAAGGCCTTGGCAGTTTAGCTTATTGTGTGGATTCACCCATTGTTAGCAGGTTGGATCAACCTGGTTATCACACTGAGCCATGATTTGTTTTGCTGGTTCAGGCAATATGAAAACGAGCAAGGGCGTTTGGTCAATTTGGGACTGGAGTTGTATGTGTTGTTCGAATTTAGGGGGTTAGGTTGGATAAACCAGGGTTTCTCACCTTGGCAACTTTTAAGTGTGTGGACTTCAACTCCCAGAATTCTCCACCTACCAAGCAGAGCCATCCTTTTATAATTTAATGAGCAGATAGGTCTTGAGAGGTGATGCTATTTCTTTTCCTTTTTTTTTTTTTTGAAATGTATCCCTGTGGGAAAGGGCACATGTTGAGAGGCGTACAGTACTTTTATTAATTTTCTGGAAGAAAAATAACTTTTTTTGCATCTGTGATGAGCTACCTGGGATATAGGCTATGTATTTATTTGTATAATAAGTTCTCTCTCTCTTTTTTTTTTTTTTTGACGGACAGGGGAAAAAAAATATCAGTGTAGCATGTTTGCTTAGCATTAACCAAGACACATTTTAGCCTGGCTGGTTCCCTCTCCCACTTTTCTGGAGACACATATTTGTAACCGTTATTTATATCCGTGTTTTATCTCTTTTATAAATGAATAAACTTGAATTGTTCCAAACGGGTTTTTTTTTTTCTTTCATTGAATAGGGTTTTTTTCTTTCCTGTGTCCCTTCTTTGAGGACCGTGTGTGTGTGTGTGTGTGTGTGTTACTCCAGTAATAAGCAGGATTTAAAGAAAAGTATTCACAGAGATTACCAGTGATCTAATTCTGGTGAACCATTTCAAACTTCAAGCAATAGTTAATAATGCTTGTTCACTTCTGGGTGGAATAGCCTGGAGCATTTGGAAACATGCCATTTAATATCATAATTATCCATTTGAAAGTATTTAGCAAATATCTGGAGTGATAGATGGGCTAGATAAATTTCCAAAGTAGTGGGCTGCAACTTTCTAATTTTTTTTTTAAGAATACCTCTGAATATAGGCATGGCCTAAAAGTGGCCTTGCAGATAGATATTACACTTGAGGCATGTCCTTTAGTTTGTAAAATGCTATCTTTTTATTTATATAATAAATACATACCACCAGTAAGGATAATATCTTTATCTTTCCTGTGTGGCTGCTCTTACAAAAAAAGCTCTTATTTCTTGTCACTTGACACCTACCTTTAAACCTATAGTCTACATCAGGGGTGTTAAACTGCTGGCCCCCCAGGCCGGATGCATCGTAGCGAAAACGCACCCACCCCATTGCCGGCAATGGCAAAAAAAGTCACGATACATCACGACACGTCACGTGACGTTGCGAGTTTGACACCCCTGGTCTACATTATACAATTCCTATACTGATCTCTATGATGGATGTATGTGCATATCTAAGAATCCTTAGTATCTTAGGAATACTAAAACAGTTGCAGCTTGCCAAAACAATTGCAGCTGCCAAAAAGGCCAACACAGTGCTAGGCTGCATTAACAGAGGGATAGAATCAAGATCACGTGAAGTGTTAATACCACTTTACAAGGCCTTGCTGAGGCCACACTTGGAATACGGCATCCAGTTTTGGTCACCGCGATGTTAAAAAAGATGTTGAGACTCTAGAAAGAGTACAGAGAAGAGCAACAAAGATGATTAGGGGACTGGAGGCTAAAGCATATAAGGAACGGCTGCTGGAATTGGGTATGTCCAGTTTACTGAAGAGAAGGACGAGGGGAGACATGATAGCAGTCTTCCAGTATCTCAGGGGCTGCCACAAAGAAGGGGGAGTCAAGCTATTCTCCAAAGCGCCTGAAGGCAGGACAAGAAGCAACGGGTGGAAACTAATCAAAGAGAGAAACAACCTAGAACTAAGGAGAAATTTCCTGAGAGTTAGAACAATTAACCAGTGGAACAACCTGCCTCCAGAAGCAGT